TGGTACGTGCCATCAGGATACGGCTCAGCATACTACTTTCGCGGTGCATTCCATTGCTCACTCAGCCTGGTGGAGAGCTTGCTCATGTTCTGAAGTGGTGGATGGTCGGATGCGAAGAGGAAAAGGTGGACGAAGGTGTGCTAAATAAACTTTTTCCGCATCTGGGGAATCGATGGAACAGTTATGGTCGCCATAAAGTCATATCAGAGTCCTTCTCCGGATTGCAGTTTATCAACGACTACACCTACAGCTGTCTCAAAATACAGCATCCATCGTGGTCATGGAAGCGTCGTTCGAAGAACCTCTACTACTCGATCGACAATGGTTCCTGGTCTAGGATCTTCGCCGAGCTGCGCCGACCGGGTATCTCTGGCGAATATGGTATGTGCCAAGGCACATTTGTGAGTATGACGAACTTCGAAGTGCAGGGCAACTATCTGGAAGCCCTCACTAGCTTCGTCTTGCCACACCTAAGGGATTGGACAAGCTTACTGCTCATCTACGCTCTGGCGATCCGCAAAATGCATGATCCATCCTACCTCGATGGTATTGCAGACTACTTCCAGAGCGTGGCCGGCGGTAAGGGCAACTTGCGGCATCTGGCTGACCCCAAGTCTAGTACCGCCAATGAGCAGCATGAGCAGTCGTGGAAAGAGAATCTTTCCCAGGTGAAGCATCTCATCGCCGTCGGTGCCCTCGATGAGCATCGTAGTGGGTTCTCTCGCTTAACGAACAGAGCGTTCTGTTCACAAAGCTCACCACTAAGTGAGATGTCCAAAGCCACGGCTACTGCTGCAGTGGCGGAACGCCGATCTAGGAGTTTTGTCAAGGTGCTAGATGGGGGGAGATGCTGGAATGCGATGTGTATGTCGGAGTAATATGTGTGTGATATCCTGTAGGAATTTGGCATTGGGGGTTGCAGAGCTTGTGTGTTGTGGGTAAGAATGCAGTTGGGAATATAGTAGAGTAGTATTAATAGTCGTCCAAGACACTGTGGAGTTTTATCATGTGTTAAGTTTCTATTGACGTAGTTTCTACATATTTCAATGCTTCTTTGCGTAGTCGAAGATTAGTAGGCAGAATGTGAGTAATTAAGATTTGGCCGTCTGTAAAATATCACAGGAGATGTTGGGTTGCATGTGTAAATCTTAGTATTGGGATGAGATAAGCAGCCGTTAGTCTTTAGTAGGAATGTGTGTAGTTGCCACAGTAGTATAAGTGTAAAACAAGTAATCGGTTAAAGTGAATACGTTATGCCTGCTATAATGCTCTTCATGTGATTAGTGAGGTGTTATAAGCATATTCGGTCGCGAAATGAGTCTGCATAGGAGCATGATATTTTAGCATCTCCGACACGCGTAATAGCCGGGTATGCCGTCTTCGGAAGTCCTGCGGCGAAATATTGTTCTCGCGGAATAGTACGGAAGTGGTGATAGTAGTCGAAGTAGAATTGGAACATGATCTTTGATGTTCTTCTAGGGAGAGTAGTGCTATATAGAACAGGCTACGATAGACAAAAAGAAGGGCTAGTGTTCGTAATGTGTACACTGTACAGGTCAGCCGAGGTTAGCATACTTTATATCGACCAGTAGCATGAAGCGGGTTGTTTGTAAGAGTTTGGATTTCACTCCAAGCTACACTCATCTCCGTCGGAGAGATATAAGACACATGGGAGGAACATTTTTTGTGTTACTCGGAACTGCAGGGGCTAGTAGGTGTGACACATGTCGATCATATGCTGTGCAGTGGCTAGAAGACTGTGTAATGTGGGCTTGTATAACGGTAACAGATATTTGTTTGTGAGACCATAGTGCTGGTGTTTGAGTAACGGGCCGAATACGATGTTTACGACGAGGAGCAACATAGTGGGTTTATAAAAGGTCTGCATAAGCATCATTGGTAGACTTTACGTAGCGTGATTGTTCGA